CTGGATAAAGAAAATGTACATATATACCATGGAATACTATGCATCCATAAAATAGAATGAAATCATGTCCTTTGCAGGGACATGGAGTTGGAAGCCATTATCCTCAGCAAACTAACTCAAAAACAGAAAACCGATCACATATTCTCATTTTTAAGAGGGAGCTGAATGATGAGAACACATGGACAAAATGGAAGAAACAACATACACTGGGGCCCATTGGGGGTGTGGGGTGTGGGGTGTGGGGTGTGGGGAGGGAGGGCACCAGGAAGAAGAGCTAAGGGATACAGGGCTTAATATTTAGCAATGGGATGATCTGTGCAGCAAACCACCATGGCATACATTTACCTATATAACAAACCTGAACATCCTGCACATGGACTCTTAAAATAAAAGTTGAAAAAACCAGTGGTGACAGTGTTCTTGTTGTTGCTGTTTTCTAGATGTCAGATAGGAAGCAGTGTTAGCATGCCTCTCCGACTTGGAAGGACAGACTAGTGGGTAGAGAGTCACACTGTAAAATTTTTTTTCCCCAGGAGCACCAGACAAAGTTACAGGAAAATACTTATTCAAAAAAGAAACATAACTGGCTAACAAACATAGAAATATGTTCATAAATAAATCAAGAGGACAAAAACAACCCCATTATAGAGTAAGCAAAGGACACTGACACTTCTAAGAAGACAATATACAAGCAGCCAAAAAACATGAAAAAACGCTCAATATCACTAGTCATCAGAGAGATGCAAATCAAAACCACAATGAGATACCATCTCACACTAGTCGGAACTGCTATTGTTAAAAAGTCAAAAAATAGCAGATGCTCATGAGGTTGCAGAGGAAAAGGGAATGCCTAAACACAGTGGGAATGAAAATTAGTTCAGCCACTGTGAAAAGCAGTTTGGAGATTTCTCAGAGAACTAAAAACAGAATTACTATTTAACCCAACAATTCCCTTGCTGGGTATACGTCCAAAGAAAAATAAATCATTCTACCAAAAAAGACACCTGCACTCATGTTTATCACAATGGCAAAGACATGGAATCAACCTAGGTACCCATCAGTGGTGGAGTGGATAAAGAAAATGTGACTCATATACACCATGGAATACTACACAATATATGCAGATTGAAATCAATGTACACATTGATTGACAGAATGAGATCATGTACTCTGCAGCAGCATGGGCTCAGCTGGAAGCCATTATTCTAAGTGAATTAACACAAAACCAGAAAATCAAATGCTGCAGTTCTCACTTATGTGGGAGCTAAACAATTTGTGTTAGGGACACAAATATGTGAATAGACACTGGGGACTCCACAAGGGGTTAGTGAGGGAGAAAGGGGGCCATAAGAGTTGAAAAACTACCTATCAGATACTATGTTTACTACTTGGACAACAGGATCATTAGAAGCTCAGATCTCAGCATCACACAATATGCCCACATAACAAATCTCCACATGTGCCCCTGCATCTAAGCTAAAAATAAATAAATATAAAGTCCCACTGAAAGAAAAATGTTCCCTATCACTACTTGTCAAATAAATACAAATAAGAAGCCATTTTTGGCCAGGCACAGTGGCTCACACCTGTAATCTGAGCACTTTGGGAAGCAGAGGCGAGTGGATCACTTGAGCTCAGGAGTCTGACACCAGCCTGGGTGACAAGGCAAAACCCCGTCTCTACAAAACAACACAAAAATTAGCTGGGCATGATGGTATGCACCTGTAGTCCCAAGCCACCCGGGAGGTGGGTGTTGTGGTAAGCTGAGATCACACCACTGTACTGCTGCCTGGATGACAGAGTGAGACCCTGTCTCAAAAAATAATAATAATGATAATAATTTAAAAGAAACCATCTTCTTTTTTTAAATTGGCAGAAAGATTTAGGTATAACAAAAATCAATGCTTTCAACACTGTGATGTGAAAGATCCTCTCAAAAACTATGAAAATTCACAACCATTTGGAAAGACATTTCTTAAAAATTATCAGGAGTCTAAAAATGTTAACAACCCTTATATTCAGTACATTATTTTATTGACTGATTGATTGACTGATTGATGGGGTCTCACTCTACTGCCCAGACTAGAATGCAGTGGTGTGATCATAGCTCACTGCAGTCTCAAACTCCTGGGATCAAGTGATCCTCCCCACCTCAGCCTCCCTAATAGCAGGGACTACAGGCATACACCACCACATCTGGCTAATTGTTTGAAAAAAAATTATTTTAGAGACAGAGTCTTGCTGTGTTGCCAGAGTAAGCTTGAACTCCTGGCCTCATGCAACCTTCCCTTCTTAGCCTCGGGATTACGTGGGATTACAGGCATGAGCCACTATGCCTGGGCTCAGTAAACACATTTTTTTTTTTTTTTTTGAGATGGTGACTCACTCTCACCCAGGCTGGAGTGCAATGGTGTGATCTCGGCTCACTGCAACCTCTGCCTCCTGGGTTCAGGGATTCTCCTGCCTCAGCCTCCCCAGTAGCTGGGATTACCGGCATGTGCTACCATGTCTTGCTAATTTGGTACTTTTAGTAGAGATGGGGTCACTTTTAATAAACTATTCTAAGAGATAATAAAAATAACAGATAAGCTACACATTCAAAATTATTTATGACTGTATGAATATCAACAGTAGCAAAAACCAAAACCACCTGAATTTTCAATGTTACTAGATATGTCCATGTAGACAGTTTATCATGTATCCATTTGAATTCTTTTTGACATATTGTTTGACATAAGAAAACAATTTTAATATTGTAAGTGGTAATTTAAACCATGTAAAAATGAATATAAAAAAACCCAGGAAGGAAATACACCTAAACATTAAAAGAGGTTTTATGGGTGATTACTTTTTCTTCCTTGTTAATCTTTGATTTTATGTACTTCTGATTTTCTACAAGGAACATGTGATATTAAATAACAAGAAAAAAAGGTAAAATACTTGGGTGAAAGAAAAACTACAGTGAAATAATTTCATTACACAAAGGTTACAGTTTTTTTTATTTTCATAATTCCAACAGATAGCATTTTGGGTTCCAAAATTGTTTCTTGTCCTAATTCTACTTCATATATTATAGAGTTTTTAATTTGTTGTTTTAAAGATACCTGGGTTTTGAAAAACTTTGGGACAATAAAAATAACCATCCATCCTATAAGAAATAAGTAATTACCAAAAAGCACTTCTGAAAGTTACAGAAGCAGCAACTAAATCAAGAGAAAGTTATCTGCTAGATATATTGTAACCACTGAAGAAAGGCAGTTTGTGAGCCTCTGAAAGAATAAACACATCCAGAACTTTTTGAGAAGAAACAGCAGGAAAAAGTTAATTTCTCCCAATAGATGCAATAAATCCCAAACAGCCATTTTTTGAAATTTTCTGATATGCAGGCTATGGAAAAAAGCCCAAATGCATTCTGACATGGTCTAATATGAAATAAAAATGTTTTATTTAAGATGTATTATTTATTCTTAATGTGGTGGCTATAATCCCTAAGATGGCCCCAACAATCCCCATCTCCTGGTATTCATGCCCTGATAATCACCTTTCATACTGAACAGAAATTATTTGCTTAACAAACAGAAAATACTGTAAATGTCTATCAGGTTTGCTTGCTCCAGGTCTGAGTTCAAGCCCTGGATATCCTTGTTGATTTTCTGTCTGGTTGATCTGTCTAATATTGACAGTGGAGTGTTAAAGTCTCCCACTATTATTGTCAGGGAGGGGAGTACTAAACACTGGGGTCTATTGGGGGGAAAAGGGGAGGGTCAATGGGAGGGGGAGGTGGGGAGGGATAGCCTGGGGAGAAATGCCAAATGTGGGTGAAGGGGAGAAAGGAAGCAAAACACACTGCCATGTGTGTACCTATGCAACTGTCTTGCATGTTCTGCACATGTACCCCAAAACCTAAAATGCAATAAAAAATTAAAAAAAAAAACCAGAAAATACTGTGTGTAACTTTTGAGGCTAAATTGTGACATTGTGGCTGTCTTTATCTCTTTATCACTTGTTCTGGAAAAAGGAAGGTGCCATGTTGTGAGGGCACTTAAGTAATACCAAAAACTATTTTTCCATTTCCATGTGGCAATGGAATGAAGCACTCTGCAAAAAGCCAGTGCAACACTGAGGACTCCTGCAGTGGCATGTAAGTAAATCATCTTAGAAGCTTGTCCACCTGGCTCCAGTGAAGCCTTCAGATCACTACAATTATAACCAACATCTTAGCTATATCCTCATAAAAGAATCTAAGCTAGAACCTCTCAGCTAAGTTGCTCCTAAATTCTAGAACCTCAGAAACTGCTAAGATAAATGTTCATTGTTTTAAGCCACCAACTGGTAATTTGTTAAATGGGAATACATTTATACTTAGCTAATATAAAAACAATTTCATAAAATATTTTGGTTTATGTTTCTTAAGTATGTTTTTATCCAGATAAACTTATCTATTACCTTAGAAATACAGAAGGTTGTGAAAGAGTACTTTTATATACAGAAATGTATCCTTTTGAAGTATATTGGTTTGTAATTAATAACAAGAAATTTAATGTTGACTTAAGGCTTAAAATATTCTTCAGTGAGATAAATTCACTTAGTTTTTCTTAAATAATCAGGGAAAAAAAGTGCTGCTTAACTATGTGACCAAAAATTGCTGTTACTAGCTATTGTTGGTAAATAGCGGATTTTTGGTCACTGAAGTAGTGATAGGCTCTAGAGTTATTTACTTTGTTTTAATATCCTACTTGTAATCGACATGAGATATGTGTATGTCTGATCACCAGGGCTACCAGAGAATATATCTCATGAGTCACAGAAAACAGGTAGATTTTTCTTTTCCTGAGCAAAGTTACCTGTCTTACATGAAGACTAAATTTGAATTCCTACCTTAGTCTACTTAATTAAAACATTACCATGGAAAGAAAAAAATATTTAATGCATATTCTTCATATTGCTTTCTTTAAATTGCAATAAATTAAAATTATTAGTAAGAATATCTAGGTACTCACCATGTGCTTTAATGCATTAAAAAGAAGTTTTCTCCCAGAAGGCTTATCAAAATCAGCAATAATCCACAGAGTGACTGCAGAAATTATAGTGTCATCTGAAAGTTTCAAACAGTTTAGTCAAATTAACTCTTTTTAAAAATAAAACAAAAACCAGGGGAACATTTATAGTTTACACATAAAAATAATAACAAATATATCAAAATAATATTTCTGAAAATAAGCAAAGACTGCTAAAATTGTATGTATGAATGTATATATGCATGTACACATATATACATATAAATATAAAGACATATAAAATTACATATAAAAATGCTACAAGGGTAATTCATTATATAAGCTTATATAAAGCTCCCAGCATTGGTAAGCAAATCTGCCTTCTAGCTACATTTGTTAAAAAAAAGAAAATTGTTTTTTATATCCCACATGTATGTAAAACCGGAACAATCAAGCTTATTAGTAGATACAGAAAACAGCAATATTTTACTAGCTTACAGTTCATTTATTTTAAACTGTTTAGCTATCATGAATGTGGCCAAATTTATACCATCTTGTTCCATCAATATTCTGAAGTCTCAATTAAATGGGTTTAATTTCATCCAGCATTAAGCAGATAACACCTGAAATGATACTTGTCTGGCCATCAATAAAACCTACTGAAAAACTGGTCCTTACGACCAGTCTACCAATTTAAAATAATTATTTAAAAAATTTGCTATACCTAAAACTTACTTCTGAATAGATTTGAAACTACAGTTATTATCATAGCCAGTGTGATCTAATCATATAAAAACTGGCTTTGGTTAATGAAAGATAAAAAATTAACAGAAAGGACAGCCTTGATTTCACTTGCAACCTTAAGAAACAACTTATGGGTAAGAGAGTAACATTCTTTTTAAAGAAGAAAGGTAAAGAATTTCTGTGCCTTTTTAATGACAGCCTTTTCACCATCACAGCTTGTTTATTGAGAAATATTTCAAAAGCACTAAGTAAATTTCTCAAAACTATTATTTCTTTACACATTTACAGAAATACAAAGAGAAAATTCAATTCTCAGTGCCAACATTCCTTTAAATTGCAAGAGTTAACTAAAGAGCATAAATTACAGGTTAACTTATTCCTTAATTTTTTTAAATGTGTGTGTGTGTTTAGTTTGTTTTTCCCCCCAAGAGACATTTTTGAAATATAACGCAGATCTGGGATAAATATGTTTCTATTTTTTCTTACTTCTCTATGTCTTTTTGCCTTCACATTCAGGGTTGTAGCCTGCCATAAGAGGGAACTATTTTATTGTATATTTTATTATTCTTTATATTATGTTTGTTAATATTGTTGATTATATATTTTATCATTTGTTGCATTTAACGTAGCCAGACTCCTTTATGAACATAGAATCATGAATCTGTTAGAAAGTAATCCAGGAGCCATCTGGTAGAAACTTGGATTTAATCTACAGCATTTACAAAAACTGGTTGTATGGCCTTTGCTTTAAATCTCTCTCCTGTATAAAAGTTTGTCCCTTACAACATAGTTCATTCCATCTGTTTAGGGCACTCTCACTGTTGGAAAATTACCACTTCTCTACTGAGACCAAAACCAACCTTCTTTAACCTTTTACTCATTGGCTCTTGTTTTTATTTCTAGAGCAAAGCAGGCCAAACAAAGCAAAACAAAAACCAACCAAATTCTACTCATATTCATCTATCTGAATAGTCAACTGTACCCTAACAAATCTGTGGTCGTACTGCCAACTTCTCAGTTGTGGCTAAATCCTTTTTCCAAGCGTGTTACTGTCTCGGTCTCCTCTCTTCTGGTTGTAACCCCTATCTTAAGCAAAACATCTGCAGGTTCCTTAAACGGAATGTAGAATTATTATCTTCTCTGATCCAGGAATTATACTTTTATTTATACATTATAAGAGAGTTTACATAGTACTGAGAAGTTTTTATTCTTTTCTAAAAAAGGTGACAATAGTTTACTTTAAAAAAGGCAAAAAAAAACCCACAAAAACCCCAAGATAAACAAAGTTAGAATAGAAGGCATCGTTTCCTCAGCACACCTTAAATACTAAAAATTTTACAAACTCTAAACTTGAAATCTAGTTTAGATATATAAAAGAATAGCAATTTATGAAAATGTATTATGCAACTGCTCTATAAAGATTACAAGTTTTTATCACTTTAGGAATAAATTCAGGTAAATAAAATATGCTTATTACCGTCTGGGGTTAAATAATACATGTTCTTTGCAATTACAGCACTCTTATCTTGTGAATCCAAGAAAAAGAAAGTAGAGAAATCTTCTATATCAGCAGTTACTGAAAAATTTCAAATTAAATGTTAAATATAAATAAAGCATTCACAGCTCAATAAGCATTTGTAGAACAGTATAGAATTATTTTACCTGATGTAGATATTAAATTAAGGTACTGCTGGTTAGTATGCAAAATCAAAGAATTTATACGGGGTACACTATTCTTTTCCATTAGAAAATCGATTGCATTCATGTGATCATTTAATGTGCCCTAAAACAACAAAAATGTTATTTAGATAATATAGGCAATTTATATCGTTTTAAAAATTATGCACAAAAATTAAAGATTAATCAAAAATAAATATGCAAATTAGAATTATGACAATATATTTTCTTGTAAAAATTAGATTTTTTTTCCAATTAAGCAATTTTTAGATGCAATTGTGCCTAAAATAAATTTAATTAAATATTGGTTTTTGAAAATTTTCAGCTTTTCTTTTAGATTCAAGGGTACCTGTGCAGGTTGGTTACAACATGGGTATATCACATAATGCTGATGTTGGGGTTATGACTGATCCCATTAACCAGGTTAGTGACCATAGAACCAGATAGTTTTTCAGCTCTTCCCCCACTTTTTCCTTCCTTCTCCCCTCTAGAAGTCCCAGCTTCTATTGCTGCTACCTTTATGTCCATGAGTACCCAATGTATGGCTTCCACTTACAAGTGAGAACATGTGGTGTTTGGTTTCCTGTTTCTGTGTTAGTTTACTTGGCCTCCAGCTGAGTCTATGTTGCTGCAAAGGGCATCATTTCATTTTTAAATGGCTGTGTAGTATCCCATGGTGTAGATAGGTACTGCATTTTCTTTATCCAATCCACTGATGATGGGCACCTAGGTGGATTACACATCTTTTCTTTTGTGAATAATGCTGCAATGAACATATATGTGTCTTTTTGGTAGAACAATTTCTTTTCCTTTGGAGATATACCCAGTAATGAGATTGCTGGGTTAAATGGTTATTCTAAATTCTTTGAAACATCTCTAGACTGCTTTCCAAAGAGGCTGACCTAATTTACACCCCCACTAATAGTATATGCACATTCCCTTTTCTCCTCAGCCTCTCCAGTATCTATTGTTTTTTTTTAACATTTTAGTAATAGCCATTCTAATTGGTATGAGATGATATCTCATTGTGGTTTTGATTTCTGTTTCTCTAAGAAGTAATAAAGTTGAACATTTCTTCATATGTTTGTTGGCTAGCTGTGTGTCTTTTAAGAAGTGTCTGTTAATGTCATTTGTCTATTTTTTAATGGGGTTATTTGTTCTTTGCTTGTTGATTTGTTTGCTACTTAGGGATATTAGAACTGTCAGAGGTATAGTTTGTGAATACTTTTGCTACTTAGGGATATTAGAAGTATAGTTTGTGAATATACTAGAGGTATAGTTTGTGAATACTTTTGCTACTTATGGTTATTAGAGCTGTCAGAGGTATAGTTTGTGAATACTTATGGATATTAGAACTGTCACAGGTATGATTTGTGAATACTATGGATATTAGAACTGTCAGAGGTATGGTTTGTGAATACTTTCTGTATATTCTGCAGGTTGTCTGTTTACTCTGTTGCGAGTTTCTTTTGCTGTGCTTTTTAATTAGGTCCCACTTGTCAATTTTTGTTTTTGATGTAATTGCTTTTGAGATCTTAGCCATACATTCTTCCCAAGGCTGATGTCAGAATGGTGTTTCCTAGGTTTTCTTCTACAGTTCTTATAGTTTTAAGTCTTATACTCAAATGTTTAATCTATCTTGGGTTAATTTTTGAATGTGGTGAAGAGTAGAGGTCCAGTTTTGTTTGCATGTGGCTAACCAGCTATCCTAGGACCGCTTATTGAATAGAGGGTCCTTTCCCCACTAATTTTTGTCCACTTTGTCAAACCTTAGGTAGTTGTAGGTGTGAGGCTTATTCTGTTCCATAAGTCTGTTCCAAGAGCTTCTGTAAGACTGGTCTAGTGCTAATGAATTCCCTTAATGTCTATTTTTGTGTCAGTACCATCCTGTTCTGGTTACTGTAGCCTTGTAGTATACACCTTGTAGTATAGGGTGAAGTCGGGTAATGTGATGCCTAAAGATTTGTTCTTTTTGCTTTGGATTGCATTGGTATTTGGGCTCTTCTCGGCTTCCATATGTATTTTAGAATAGTTTTTTTCCAATTCTGTGAATAATGACTGGTAGTTTGATAGGAATAGCATTAAATCTGTAGATTGTTTTGGGCAGTATGCCTATGTTAACAATAGTTATTCTTCCAATCCATGAGCATGGAATGTTTCCCCATTTGTTTGTAGAATATATGATTACTTTCAGCAGTGTTTGTAATTCTCCTTGCAGAGATCTTTCACATCCTTGGTTAGCTGTATTCCTAAGTATTTCATATTGTGTGTGCATGTGTGTGCCTGTATGCACGTGTGGCTACCATAAATGGTACTGCACTCTTGATGTGGCTCTCAGGTTGAATGTTATTGGTGTATGGAAATGATACTGATTTTTGTGCATTAATTTTGTATCCTGAAACTTTACTGTAGTCATTTATCAGTTCCAGTTGTCTGGTGAAGTCCTTAGGGTTTTCTAGGTATAGAATCATCATCAGTGAAGAAAGATACTGGACTTTTTACTATTTGGATGCCTTTTATTTGTTGCTCTTGCCTGACTGCTCTGACTAGAACTTCCAGTACTATGATGAATAGTAGTGAGACTGGGCATCTTTCTCTTGTTCCAGTTCTCAAGAGGAATGTTTCTAGCTTTTGCCTATTCAGTATGATGTTGGCTATGGGTTTGTCATAGATTATTCTTATTCATTTGAGGTATGTTCCTTCAGCACATAGTTTGTTGAGGGTTTTTGTCAGGAAGGGATGTTGGATTTTCCTGAATACTTTTTCAACATCTATCAAGATGATCACATTTTTTGTTTCAAATTCTGTTTATGTGGTGAATCACATTTACTGATTTGTGTATGTTGAACCAACCTTCCCGAGGAGTGAAGCCTACGTGATCATGGTGAAACTTTTTGGTATGCTGCTGGATTCAGTTTGCTGGTATTTTGTTGAGGATCTTTCCTTCTATGTTAATCAGTGGTATTAGCCTGTAGTTTTTTTTTTAATTGTGCCTTTGCCAGCTTTTGGTATCAGAATAATATGGGCTTTGCAGAATGAGTTAGGAGGCATCAATCACTCCTCCTTGGTTTTTTGGAACAGTTTAAGTATAATTGGTAACAACTCTTTGTACATCTGGTGGAATTCAGATATAAATCAATCTGGTCCAGGGCTTTTATTGGTTGGAAGGTTTATTACTGATTCAATTTTTGAACTCAAGATCAGTCTGTTCAGGGTGTCAGTTTCTTCCTGATTCAATCTTGGGAGACCAGGAATTTATCCATTTCCTCTAGATTTTTCAGTTTGTGTGTATAGAGGTCTTCTGTGGATCTTCTGTATTTCTAAGGGATCAGTTGTAATATCACCTTTGTTGCTTCAGATTATGCTTATTTAGATATTTTCTCCTTTCTTTGTTAATCTAGCTAGTTGTCTATTGATCTTGTTTTTTCCTTTCCAAAAACCAACTTTTGGTTTCATTTGTTCATTGTATAGATTTTTGGGTCTCAATTTTGTTCAGTTCTACTCTGATTTTACTTATTTTCTCCTGCTAGCTTTGAGTTTAGTTTGTTCTTGTTTTTCCTAATTCCTATAGGTGTGATATTAGGTCATTATTCTGAGACTGTCCTAAGTTTTTGAAATAGGTGGTTAGCACTATAAACTTTCCTCTTAACACTGCTTTTGCTGCATGCCAGAGATTTTGGTATGTGGCTCATTTTCATTTATTTGAATTTTTATTATTGCTGCCTTAATTGCACTGTTTACCCAAAAGTCATTTCAGGAGCAAGTTGTTTAATTTCTATGTAACTATGTAGGTTTCAGAGATCTTCCAAGTTCTGATTTCTATTTTTACTCTACCATTGTCCATGACTAGTATGATTTTGATTTTTAAAAATTTATGAGACTTGCTTTATGGCCAGGCATATGGTTGATCTTAAAGTATGTATTCTGTGGCTGATGGGTGGAAGGTTCTTTAAATGTCTATTAGGTCCAATTGGTCATTGTCCATTTAAGTCCAGAATTTCTTTGTTAGTTTTCTGCCTTGATAATCTAACACTGTCAGTGTCTAACATATGATAGAAACTGCAGAGTAGCCAGCTAAGAACTTCTGATAGGTGTAAAACCTCATGTACCAATATTAGCCTTGAATATAAATGGCCAACATGCCTCACTTAAAAAGCACAGTGTGGCAAGTTGGATAAAAAGCAAGACCCATCTGTCTGGTGTCTGCCTCCTTCCTCAGACTTTTGAGTAGCTGGGACTATAGGTACACACCACCATGCCTCGCTAAGTTTTAAGTTTTTTGTAGAGCAGTTTCACTATGCTGCCAGGCTGGTCTCAAATTCCTCAGCTCAAGCAATCCTCCTGGATTGCCCTCTCAAAATGGTGGGATTACAGGCATGAACCACCATGCCTGGCCTAAATTCTTTTTTATTTTTGTATGACTGGGTTAGTTCAATAATAGTGGGGGAATTGAAGTCTCTGACTACTACTTTGTAGCTGTCTTAAGATTTTTCATAGCTGTGGAAGCATTTGTTTTATGAATCTGGGTGCTCCAAAGTTGGGTGCACATATATATGGAATAGTTAAAGTCTTACTGTTGTACACTTTATAATTATGAAGTGCCCTTCTTTACTACTGTTGGTTTCAAGTCCGTTTTATCTAAGAATAGAGACCCCTGCTTTTTTTGTTTGTTTGTTTTGTGTGCATGATATAGCTTTCTCCAACTCTTTGCTTTGAGACTAGGGGTGTCATATGCATGGGATGGGTCTCCTGAAGACAGCAGATAGAGGGATCTTGTTTTTTTTTTTTTTTTTGAGACAGAGTTTCACTCTTGTTACCCAGGCTGGAGTGCAATGGCGCGATCTCGGCTCACTGCAACCTCCGCCTCCTGGGTTCAGGCAATTCTCCTGCCTCAGCCTCCTGAGTAGCTGGGATTACAGGCACGCGCCACCGTGCCCAGCTAATTTTTTGTATTTTTAGTAGAGACGGGGTTTCACCATGTTGACCAGGATGGTCTCGATCTCTCGTGATCCACCCGCCTCGGCCTCCCAAAGTGCTGGGATTACAGGCTTGAGCCACCGCGCCCGGCCGAGGGATCTTGTTTTTATCCAGCTGCCACTCTGTGCCTTTTAAGTGAGGCACTTAAGCTATTTATATCCAAAGTTTAATATTAGTACATGAGGTTTTGATCCTATGTGAAGTTCTTAGCTGGCTTTGTAGTTTTTATCATGTGAATGCTTTATAGGGTCTGTGGGCTATGTACTTAAGTATGTTTTTGTATCATTCTTCCATTTACATGTTTAGAACTCCCTTAAAGAGCTCTTGCAAGGCTGGTCTAGTGCTAATGAATTCCCTTAGTGCTTGTCTGGAAAAGATTTTATTTCTCCTTCACTTATGAAGCTTAGTTTGACACAATACAAAATTATTGGCTGAAATATCTTTTCTTTAAGAATGCTGAAAATAGATCATGGAGAAGTCTGTTGTTAGTCTCATGGGGTTCCCTTTGGACGTGATCTGACATTTTTTTTCTAGCTGCCTTTAAGATTTTTAACTTCGGCACTGACCTTGGATAGTCCGGTGACTATAAGCCTTGGTGATGCTCACTTTGTATAGTATCTCAGTGTTCTCTGAATTTCTTGTAACTGAATGTCTATTTCACTAGCAAGATTAGGGAAGTTTTCTTGAATTATCCCCTCAAATATGTTTTCCTGGTTGTTTACTTTTTCTCCTTTTCAGGAATGCCAATAATGTGTAGGTTTGGTTCCTTTAGATAATCCCGTATTTCATGAAAACTTTGTTCATTAAAAATTTTTTTTTCTTTCCAGACAGGGTCTCACCTTGTCATCCAGGCTAGAGTGCAGTGGCATGATCATGACTCACTGCGGCCTTCATCTCCTAGGCTCAAGTGATCCTCCTGCTCAGCCGTTTGAGAGGCTGGGACTACAGCCACACCTGGCTATGTCTTAAGTCTTTTTTTTTATAGAGAGGAGGTTTCACTATGTTACCCAGGCTGGTTTGAAACTCCTCAGCTCAAGTGATTCTCTTGAAATGACCTCCCAAAGTCGTTGAATTACAGGTATGAACCACTATGCCTGGCCTAAATTGTTTTTTGTTTATTTTTGCCCGACTGGGTCAGTTCAAAAGCCTAGTTTTCAAGCTCTGAAATTCTTTCTCCTGCTTGGTCCAGTCTATTGATAAAGCCTTCAATGGTATTTTGAAATTCCTTAGGTGATGCTTCTATAGACCTATGCATTTCTATCAGCTAATTACTTTAGGTTGTGTGGTTTGACCTACCAGCCAGTAGATAGCCCCTATGAGTAAAAGCATGCTGAGGCCAAAATGGTAGGGTATACGCTTGGTCTTTGTTACTGGGATAATCTCTCTGTTTATATCCAACCATTTTGCTAACTATTTAAGGCAATGGGCTGATCTGTAGTGTGCACAGTGGTCTGGGCTCCCTGCTCAGCCATGGTGGGCAAGATGGGCAGGGCCAGACTGAGCAGGCCTGCCTGTAGGTCACCCAATGGCAGGCACAAGCACCAACATTGAGGGATAATCCAGTGGGCAACCATCAGGTTTCCAGAGGTGTGCCTAGGCATGGAACTGGGAAAATTCCTTGATCCAAGTTCTCTGCACAGGGAGGGGGCAGCCTAAACTCCTAATCCAGGAGGGTGGGTGTTCCAGATTCCTGAAGATCTGCCTGGGCATGGAGTATAAAGGGCCCCTCTGCACCACAATCTCTGCACAGGGAGGGAGGCATGGCATAAGCTGCTAAAAATATCATTTTAAAAATCACTATTAAATGATCAGAATGAAAATTTTTACCAAATTAACTACCATTAAAATAAATTTTTAATAAAAGTATCATTTATAAATATTATTCATCATGTATTTTCTCATAAATGCTTACCCACCATAAAAACTTCTCTTTGTAAATGTACAGATGCATCCATCATTCTTTGAAGAATAGTCGCTTTTAGTTCTTTAATACTCATCTCTTCATGCTTAAAGGGTTCACCATTATAAAGAGCTTGAGGCAAAGGACCCAGGCCAGTCATCTTATAAAAGCTTGCTCCAGCCTATTCAGTTAAAAAATATCAGAGTGTTAAACAAAATATGATTGTTTAAAAAATAAATGTAAGAAAGAGGAACACTGCCACATTTTTAAATGCCATGGGAGAAAACAACAATTTTGCTAACCTTATCTGTCCTTTCCAAACATTACTTAAAGGAAAGTAATTTACCTACAAAGAGTAGGAGTCAAGAAACTTTCTGTAACAGGCCACCAAGTAAATACTTTAGGCTTTGTGAGCCACCTTGTTTCTGACACAATGACTCCATTTTCATGTTACAGCACAAAAGCAGTCACAGACAACATATGAATAAACAAATATGGCTGTGTCCCCAAAATACTTTACAAAAACAAGCAGTGGGTGGACTTGCTGATTCTTGGTATAGAGTATGACATTTACTTAACAATAAAAATCCAAACATTTATCTGCATCAGAGACTTATTTATCCCTGTATTGATATGTTCAATAAACATTTACTTAATCCTGCCACCTGCATTAGGCTAAATACTGTGATTACAGAGCTGAAAGTCTTTTCTCAAGGGGTTCACATATATTCAGATAAAACACAGGAATGTAGAAGATTCTATGGGGCCTAGGAGAAGCATCTAATCAAGCTTGTGTATGGAGAAGAGGAATCATACAGTGCTGCTTTTAGGGAGTGATATTAGAAGTCTTAAAGGCTTAAAAAAATTTGCCAGGGAGATAAAGCAGAGAAAGACATTCCAAGTGAAGAGAGCACAACAAGGACTGAAAGGGAAGTGAATGTACAATATACTTAGGCAATGTAAATTCACAGTTGACATGGTTTGGCTGTGTCCCCACCCATATCTTAAACTGTAGCTCCCACAATGCCCATGTGTTATGGGAGGGACCCAGTAGAAGGTAATAGAAAGATAGGGGCAGGTCTTTCCTGTGCTATTCTTGTGACAGTGAATAAGTCTCATGAGATCTGCTAATTTTGTATGAGGGAGTTTCCCTGCACAAGTTTTCTTCTCTTGTCTGCCACCATGTGAGACATGCCTTTCACCTTTTGCCATGATTGTGAGGTTTCCTTAGCCATGTGGAACTGTGAGTCCATTAAACCACTTTCTGTTGTAAATTGCCCAGTTTCACATATGTCTTTATCAGCAGCATGAAAATGGACTAATACAGCAATGTTTATAGGGTGCGAAATATGGGGGAGAGCTGTTAGAGAGGGGTTTTAAGTAGAGGCCAGATCATGAAGGTCCTCAATATTCAAATTTTAGCCTATGAATTAAAAAGTGACCAAATACCTCATTTGCTATCCAATACCAAGTATTGTCATCATTATAGCCAACATTTGCACAAATACTCTAGAAAGCCAAGTATTACTATTACATCCATTTTAGAGATGATAAAACAGACACACAGAGATTAAATCACTTCTTATGTCATATAGCTACAATGTTTTAGAAGTGGAATTTGTACCCAGATCTGTCTGACCAAGTCTGAACTCTTAACCACTGTACTACACTATCTCTGCATTTAGAGGGCACCTACTATGTATTAGGTTTATAAATGCATGTAAATGATATGCAAACTCTATAATAAAGAAACATAGTTTAATAGAGGGAGAGATGGATATATATTAAAAGTGAGTGTGAAATAGTATTTTGGGGGTACCAAGCAGGTCATGGTAAATTCTATCTGATAAGGGATTTCATGCAAAATATCTGATTTGCTTATTTTTAAAAGGATACAATGGCAACAATGGGAAGAAAGAGCATATTTTAGGACACTGCTTCAGGGGCTACTACAGTTGTAAGGGAAAGAAAAATCAAGAGCAAAAAAAAGTCAGTGCTAACAGGCAAATTGAGAATGAGGCAGTTTCTGAAATATTTAACAGTTTCCAAAACCTTTTTAATTTTATTATTATACTTTAAGTTCTGGGATACATGTGCAGAACATACAGGTTACATAGGTAAACAGCAAATCACCTATGTTACACAGGTGATTTGCCACACCTAGCAACCCATCATCTACATTAGGTATTTCTCCCAATGCTATCCCTTCTTTAGTCCCCCACCTGCCAGCAGGCCCTGGTGTGTGATGTTCCTCTCCCTGTGTTCATGTGTTCTCATTGTTCAACTCCCACTTATGAGAACACACAGTGTTTGGTTTTCTGTTCCTGTGTTAAGTTTGCTGGAAATGATGGCTTCTAGCTTCTTCCATGTCCCTGCAAATGACACGAACTCATCTTTTTTTTTCTGGCTGGATAATATTCCATAGTGTATATGTGCCACATTTTCTTTATCCAGTCTATCACTGATAAGCATTTTGGGTTGGTTCCAAGTCTTTGCTATTTTGAACAGTGCCACAATAAACATACATGTGAATGTGTCTTTAAATGGTTTACAATCCTTTGGGTATATACTCAGTAATGGGATTGCTGGGTCAAAATATATTTCTGGCTCTAGATCCTTGAGGAATTGCCACACTGTCTTCCAAAATGGTTGAACCAATTTACACTCCCACCAACAGTGTAAAAGTGTTCCTATTTCTCTACATTCTCTCCAGCATCTGTTGTTTCCTAACTTTTTAATGATCACCATTCGAACAAACAGGAGATGGAATCTCATTGTGGTATTGATTTGCATTGCTCTAATGACCAGTAATGATGAGCTTTTTTTCTTTTCTTGAGACAGAGTCTCGCGATGTTGCCCAGGCTGGAGTGCAGTGACACAATGTTGGCTCACTGAAATCTCCACCTCCTGGGTTCAAGCAATTCTCCTGCCTCAGCCTCCCGAGTAACTGAGACTATAGGTGTGCACCACCACGCCCAGCTAATTTTTATTTTTTGTATTTTTAGTAGAGATGGGGTTTCACCATGTGGGCCAGCACAGTCTTGATCTACTGACCTGGTGATCCACCCGCCTCCGCCTCCCAAAGTGCTGGGATTACAGGCATGAGCCACCCCGCCTGGCAGATGAGCTTTTTTACATATGTTTCTTGACCACATAAATGTCTTCTTTTGAGAAGTGTCTGTTCATATCATTTGCCCACTTTTCAATGGGGTTGTTTTTTTTCTTGTAAATTGGTTTAAGTTCTCCATAGATTCTGGACATTAACCCTTTGTCAGATGAATAGATTGCAAAAATTTCCCCCCATTCTGTAGGTTGCCTGTTCACTCTGATGATAGTTTCTTTTGCTGTGCAGAAGCTCTTTAGTTTAATTAGATTCCCATTTGTCAATTTTGCCTTTTGTTGACATTGCTTTTGTAGTTTTAGTCATGTTTTGCCATTGCTTTTGGTGTTTTAGTCTTTGCCCATGCCTATGTCCTGGACTCATACTGCCTAGGTTTTCTTCTAGGGTTTTTATAGTTTTAGGTCTGATATTTAAGTCTTTAATTTACCTTGAGTTAATTTTTATATAAGGTATAAGGAAGGGGTCCAGTTTCAGTTTTCTGCATATGGCTAGCCAGTTTTCCCAACACCATTTATTAAATAGAAAATCCTTTCCCCATTGCTTTGTTTTTGTCAGGTTTGTCAAAGATCATATAGTTGTAGATGTGTGGCATTGTCTCTGAGGCCTCTGTTCTGTTCCATTGGTTCACATATCTGTTTTGGTAACAGTATCATGCTGTTTTGGTTACTGTAGCCTTGTAGTATAGTTTGAAGTTAGGTAGTGTGATGCCTCCAGCTTTGTTCTTTTTGGGTAGGATTGCTTGGTTATATGGCTTCTTTTTCCATATGAAATTTAAAGTAGTTTTTTCTAATTCTGTGAAGAAAATCAATGGTAGCTTGATGGGGATAGCATTGAATCTATACATTACTTTGGGCAGTATGGCCATTTTCACGATATTGATTCTTCCTATCCATGAGCATGGAATGTTTTTCCATGTTTTTGTGCCCTCTCTTTTTTGAGCAGTGGTTTGTAGTTCTCTTTGAAAAGGTCCTTCACACCCCCTGTGAGTTGTATTCCTAGGTATTTTATTCTCTTTGTAGCAATTGTGAATGGGAGTTCACTCATAATTTGGCTCACTGTTTGTCTATTATTGGTGTATAGAAATGCTTGTGATTTTTGCCATTGATTTTGTATCCTGAGACTTTGCTGAAGTTACTTATTAGCTTAAGGAGATTTTGGGCTGAGATGGCGTTTCCTAAATATACAATCAGGTCATCTGCAAACAGAGACTATTTAACTTCCTATTTGAATACCCTTTATTTCTTTCTCTTGCCTGATCATCCTGGCCAGAACTTCCAATACTATGTTGAATAGGAGTGGTGAGATGGCATCCTTTTCTTCTGCCAGTTTTCAAAGGGAGTGCTTCCAATTTTTGCCTATTCAGTACGATACTGGCTGTGAGTCTGTCATAAATAGCTCTTATTATTTTGAGATACATTCCTTTAATACCTAGTTTATTGAGAGTTTTTAGCATGAAGGGGTGTTTAATTTTATTGAAGGCCCTTTCTGCATCTATTGAGATAATCATGTGTTTTTCATCATTGGTTCTGTTTAAGTGATGGATTACATTGGTTGATTTGCATATGTTGAACCAGCCTTGCATCCCAGGGATGAAGCTGACTTGATCATGGTGGACAAGGCTTTTGATGTGCTGCTGGATTTGGTTTGCCAGTATTTTATTAAAGATTTTTGCATCAATGTTCATCAGGGATATTGGCCTGAAATTTTCTTTGTGTGTGTGTGTGTGTGTGTGTGTGTGTGTGTGTGTGTCCACCACATTTTGGTATCAGGATATTGCTGGCCTCATAAGATGAATTAGGTAGGAGTCCCTCTTTTTCTATTGTTTGAAATAGTTTTCAAATGAATGGTATCAGTTCCTCTTTGTTTCTCTGGTAGAACTTGGGTGTGAATCCGTCTGATCCTGGGCTCTTTTTGGTTAGTAGGTTATTAATTACTGACTCAATTTCAGAACTTGTTGTCTGTCTATTCATAGATTTGACCTACTGGTTTAGTCTTGAAAGGGTGTATCTGTCCAGGAATTTATCCATTTCTTCTAGATTTTCTAATTTATTTGTGTAGAGGTGTTTATAGTATTCTCTGATGGTAGTTTCTATTTCTGTGGGATCAGTGATGATACTCCCTTTATCATTTTTTTTTTACTGTGGCTATTTATTCTTCTCTCTTTTATTAGTCTGGCTCATGGTCCATCTAGTTTGTTAATCTTCTCAAAAAAACAGCTCCTGGAGTCGCTGATTTTTTTTGAAGGGTTTTTTTGTGTCTCTATCTCCTTCAGTTTTGCTCTAATCTTAGTTATTTCTTGTCTTCTGCTGGCTTTGAAATTGTGCTCTTGCTGCTATAGTTCTTTTAACTGTAATGTTAGGGTGCTGATTTTAGATCTTTCCTGCTTTCCCCTGTGGGCATTTAGTGCTATAAGTTTTCCTCTAAACACTGCTTTAGCTGTGTCCCAGAGGTTCTGGTACATTATGTCTTTGTTCTCACTGGTTTCAAAGAACTTCTTTATTTCTGTCTTAATTTTGTTATTTACCCAGTAGTCATTCAGGTGCAGATTGTTCAGTTTCCATGTAGTTGCAGTTTTGAGTGAGTTTCTTAATCTCGAGTTCTAATTTGATTGCACTGTGGTCTGAGAGACTGCTTGTTTTGATTTCCATTCTTTTGCATTTGCTGAGGAGTGTTTTACCTTCAATTATGTGGTCAATTTTAGAATAAGTGCTATGTGGTGCTAAGAAGAATGTATATTCTGTTGATTTGGGGTGAAGAGTTCTGTAGATGTCTATTAGGTCTGCTTGGTCCAGAGCTGAGTTCAAGTCCTGAATACTCTTGTTAATTTTCCATCTTGTTGATGTATCTAATAGTGACAGTGGGGTGTTAAGTCTCCCACTATTATTGTGTGGGAGACTGAGTCTCTTTGTAGGTCTCTATGGACTTGCTTTATGAATCTGGGTGCTCCTGTACTGGGTACATATATATTTAGGATAGCTAGCTCTTCTTGTTGCAGTGATTCCTTTAATATTATGTAATGCCCTTCTTTGTCTTTTTTATGTTTGTTGGTTTAATGTCTGTTTTATCAGAGACTAAAACTACAACCTCTTTTTTTGGGGGGGGGTTTCTATTTGCTTGGTAAATATTCCTCCATCCCTTTATTTTGAGCCTATGTCTTTGCACATAAGACAGGTCTACTGAATACAGCGCATCAATGGGTCTTGACTTTTTATCCAATTTGCCAGCCTGCATCTTTTAATTGAGGCGTTTAGCCCATTTACATTTAAAGTTACTATTATTATGTGTGAATTTGATCCTGTCATTATGATGCTAGCTGGTTATTTTGCCTGTTGATGCGATTTCTTCATATTGTTGATGGTCTTTACAATTTGGTATGTTTTTGCAGTGACTGGTACTGGTTTTTCCTTTCCATATTTGGTGCTTCATTCAGGAGCTCTATCTCTCAGCATTTGCTTGTCTGTAAAGGATTTTATTTCTCCTTCACTTCTGAAGCTTAGTTGGCTGGATATGAAATAGTGGGTTGAAAATTCTTTTCTTTAAGGATGTTGAATATTGGCCCCCACTCTCTTCTGGCTTGTAGGGTTTCTGCAGAGAGATCCACTGTTATTATGAGCTTCCCTTTGTGGGTAACCTGATCTTTCTCTCTGGCTGCCCTTAATATTTTTTTTCTACATTTTAGCCTTGGTGATTCAATGATTATATGTCTTGGGGTTGGTCTTCTCAAGGACTATTTTTGTGGTGTTCTCTGTATTTCCAAAATTTGAATGTTGGCCTGCCTTGCTAGGTTGGGGAAGTTCTCCAGGATATCCTAAGGAGTGTTTTTCAACTTGGTTCCACTCTTCCTATCACTTTCAGGTACAGCAATCGAAAGTTTGGTCTTTTCATACAGTCCCATATTTCTTGGAGGCTTTGTTCATTCCTTTTCATTCTTTTTTCTCTAATCTTCTCTTTATGCTTTATTTCATTAAGCTGATCTTCCATCTCTGATATTCTTTCTTCTGTTGACTGATTCTGCTATTGATACTTGTGTATGCTTCACAAAGTTCTCGTGTTGTGTTTTTCAGCTCCATCATGTCATTATATTCTTCACTAAGCTGGTTATTCTAGTTAGCAATTCCTCTTTTTTTCAAGATTCTTAGCTTCCTTGCATTGAGTTAGAATGTACTCCTTTTGCTTGGAAGAGTTTGTTATTACCCACCTTCTGAAGCCTACTTCTGTCAATTCATCAAACTCATTCTCCATCCAGTTTTGTTCCTTGCTGGTGAGGAGCTGTGATCCTTTGGAGGAGGAGAGGTGTTCTGGTTTTTGGAATTTTCAGTCTTTTTGTGCTGGGTTTTCCTTATCTTCATGGATATATCCTATCTTTGGTCTTTGATGTTGGTGACCTTTGGTTGGGGTTTCTGTATGGACATCCTTTTTGTTGATGTTAATGCTACTGCTTTCTGTTCGTTAGTTTTCCTTCTAACAGTCAGGCCCCTCAGCTGCAGTTATGCTGGAGTTTGCTGGAGGTCCACTCCAGACCCTGTTTGCCTGGGTATCATTAGTGGAGGCTGCAGAATAGCAAAGATTGGTGCCTGTTTCCTCATCTGGAAGCTTCCTGCCAGAAGAACACCAGCCGGATGCCAACAGGAGCTCTCCTGTACAAAGTATCTGTCACCCCCTGCTGGGAAATGTCTCCCAGTCAGGGGCCAGCAACCCAGTTGACGAGGCAGTCACAAGTAAAAGTGACAGAACTTGATGACCAATTTTTTGAGAGTGTGTGAGAAAAATAGTTACTTAAGGGTGACTATTAGGCTTTCAGCATGGGTGGCTTGGGTGAATGGTTGCTATCCACCCTCTAGAATAGGAACTAAAGAAGAAAAAAATGTTTGGAGCAACAAGGGAGATCATGGGCATGGTTTTAGATTCTTCCAATTTAAGATGCTTATGGGAAATCCATTAAGCAGCTGAATACATGGGTTTGGAACTCAAGAAAGATGTCCCTCCTATAAATACAAGCACTCTTCTGCTCTTACTCTATAACTTCTAATTAGACAACCTTTCCAATCCAAAAGCTAATTACCACAAATAAGTCAATAACACTGCATTATATATTTTTAGCTCACACATCTTCCGAGCTATGGGTCATATATCCAATTGCTGATTGCACATCTCCCTTGGAAGTTGCACAGGCAACTTAAATCCTCTATGTGGAAAATTACACTTCTGATCTTATCTCCCAATGCTTTTCTCTTCCACTACTTTCCTTCTTGGCATTGACTCTACCAGTTAGTTGTTCATCTGAACCCTGGGAATTACCCTTGACAATCTCACTTCTCCCCTCTACCCTATCCAATCCAGCAGCACCTGGATGGTACCTCCTAAATAATTCAAATACTTCTATTTTCTCTGCTTCCACTTCTTCCAAAAGCCTGCTAGCCCATCTCACATCTCTCACTTTGTATTTCCTAATACATGTCACATCTACTCTTCCCCAACAACAATCCATTCTCAACAATGAAGAATGCTCTTCAAAAAAAATGCATGTCATTGTCGCTTCATTACTTAATGCCTTTTATGTTTTTCACTGTTGCCAAGAGCTTCCACTGATATGAGTACATTAAATATTGTTCACAAGACCCTGTGTAATCAGACCCTTTGCTTGCCTCTCCAGTCTTGTCTCCTTAACTGTACCCCATTAATACAGACACAACATATGCTTTCAATCTACACAGTAACAACATCGGCTTCTCTCAATTCCTTTATATCTCAGACTTCAACATTTTTCTCTGACTGGAATGTTAGTCTTTTAAAACCCTCTTGTTTCCTTTTGTCTAACTCTTCCTCCTGCTTCAGGACTTAGCTTAAATATCACTTCTTCAGAAAAGTATTCCTTATCCCCATGCTCTAAACCATTCTTCTTTCATTCAGTGTTGCGTATTTGATGAGTCCCTTCCAACGAAGGCTCACATCTATTAATTTTTGTAATTTCTATATACTATTTCTCTTTCTCTGACAATTTCTTTGAGTTGTTGCCCCCTTTATTTTTGGCTCTTTCTGAATCTTCTGGGTTGAGTCTCTGTTTACCTTTTTAAAAAATTGACAAATAAAAATTATATATATTTATGACATAAGGTATTTTCATAATGTACATTGTGGGATAGCTAATGAAGCTAATTATCACATGCATTACCTCATATACGTCTCATATTTTGTGGTAAGAATACCTAAAATGTACTTTCTTAGTAATTTTCAAGTATACAATATATGGTCATTAACTATAGTCACTATGATGTACAATAGATCTCTTGAACTTATTTCTCTAATCTAACTGAAATTTTGTATCCTTTGACCAACATCTTCCCAATTCCGCCCTCCCCAGCCTCTGGTAACCACCATTTTACTCTGTTTCTGTCAGTCTGACTTTTTAAGATTCCACATGAGCAGAGACTATGTGGTATTTGTCTTTCTGTGCCTGGCGTATTTAACATAATGTCCCTACTTACCTTTCTTTCTTCATCATATTTAGAATGAATTCCCAAAATATCCCAAATATTGGCCTGAGGAAATTTATTTTGGATAACACTCCTCACATTGTCCACAGTGAGTATATTTTTATCCTTCTTCACTTTTTTGTACATCTGTGAAAATTTAATTATAATTAATTTTACTCTTACAGCAATTAGTTTTCTTTCCCTTAGCATGCAGATTCTTATAAGTTTAAAACATGCTAACTACATATACACATATACCACATACAAATAATTTTAACTATAAATCATCTAATAAAGAGTTTTAAAATATTCTATAGTTTTCAAAAATATCATAAGGAATTTATGTTTTATTCTATTTTGATGAAACCAGACACCAAACTTAAGACCTTCTGCACAGCAAAAGAAATAATCTTTAGAGTGAACTGGCAACCAAAAAATGGGAAAAAATTTTTACAAGATACCCATCTGACAAAGGGCTAATATCCAGAATTTACAAAGAACTAAAACAAATATAGAAGAAAAAAAAACCATCAAAAAGTGGGCGAAGGATATGAACACTTTTCAAAAGAAGACATTTATTGGCCAAAAAACATGAAAAAATGCTCATCATTGGTCATTAGAGAAATGCAAATCAAAACCACAGTGAGATACCATCTCATGCCAGTTAGAATGGTGATCTTAAAAAATCTGGAGACAACAGATGTTAAAGAGGATGTGGAGAAATAGGAACACTTTTACACTGTTGGTGGGATTGTAAATTAGTTCAACCATTGTGGAAGACAGTGTGGCAATTCCTCAAGGATCTAGAAAGAGCAAAGACTTGGAACCAAGCCAAATGCCCATCAGTGATAGATTGGATAAAGAAAATGTGGTACATATACACCATGGAATACTATGCAGCCATAAAAAAGGATGAGTTCATGTCCTTTGCAGGGACATGGATGAATCTGGAAACCATCATTCTTAGCAAAATGACACAAGAACAGAAAACCAAACACCACATGTTCTCACTCATAAGAGGGTGTTGAACAATGAGAACACATGGACATAGGGAGGAGAACAACACTTACTGGAGTCTGTTGCGGGGTGGGGGTCTAGGGGAGAGATAGCAGAGAGTGGGGAGACTGGGGAGGGATAACATTAGGAGAAATACCTAATGTAGGTGATGGGGACATGGAAGCAGCAAACCACCATGGCATGTGTGTACCTATGTAACAATTCTGCAAGATCTGCACATGAACCCCAGAACTTAAAGTAAAATAAAAAAATTTTTTAAAAATAATGATTACCTTTTTAAACATATGTATAATATATTCTAATATGACCTTTCAGAAATACTTTCATTTTTATTGCTCTTCTGTAATTTTTTTTTTTTTTTTTTTTTGAGACAGGGTCTCACCATCATCCAGGCTGGAGTGCAGTGGGTGTGATCATGGCTCACTGCAGCCTCAACCTCCCAGCTCAAGCAATCCTCTTATCTAGCCCTCTGGGTAGCTGGGACTACAGGAAGTAGCCACCACACCTGGTTAAAGTTTTTTGCTTTATTGGTAAAGATGGGGTCTTGTCATGTTGCTCAGGTCAGTCTCAAACTCCTGGGTCAAACAATCCACCTGCCTCAGCCTCCCAAGGTCCTGGGATTACAGGCATGAGCCACCATGCCAGGTTTTACTAGTAAGTAGTTTGACTGGACTTTCTCTGCACCTCTACTCTTCCCCAATCGCAGATGTTCTAAACACACTTGTAGAATGTAAGCTGTTACTCTTTATATCTTTTTCACTTCTCTCTTTAATAAGTACTTAGAGATCCTCTACTATGACCCAGGTGCTGTTTTAGGTTTTGCACCAAGAGCGATGGCATCTCTGAGTAGTCAAGGAAGCTGAGACATAAATATGAATGCTGAGCTACCATTAAGACATTCTGGGGAAAGAAACTCATAAGCAGAAGGAACAAGTAGTAAGTAGAAACACTATTAGGCAGCATTTGATACATCACTTAAGAATATTATTTTTAGGGCCAGGCGTGGTGGCTCACGCCTGTAATTCCAGCACTTTGGGAGGCCAAGGCGGGTGGATCACGAGGTCGAGAGATGGAGACCGTCCTGGTCAACATGGTGAAACCCCGTCTCTACTGAAAATACAAAAAATTAGCTGGGCATGGTGGCGCGTGCCTGTAATCCCAGCTACTCGGGAGGCTGACGCAGGAGAATTGCCTGAACCCAGGAGGCGGAGGAGGTTGCGGTGAGCCGAGATCACGCCATTGCACTCTAGCCTGGGTAACAAGAGCGAAACTCTGTCTCAAAAAAAAAGATTATTATTTTTAGTCCCAATTCACTTAAATCATTATTGCCAAACATAATTTTCATATTGTAGCTAAAACGATCCTCACTTTAAAGTCCTCGTAGTAAGAAATTAGTATTCTTTGCTCTCCCTTTATCACTGTAAACTTTGTAACCTATTCCTTTAAGAAGCAGCCCAGGTATGTAATTAGACTGAAGAGTTTCATTTTATGAGTTTTTCAATTTAGGGGCAAGTTTTCCCCTCCTATCAAAGTAGAACATAGTATGATCATAACTCAAAAAAAGTGAAAAGTTCAGTCTTCTGTAAAACAGATGGAAATTGCAAAAATGAGATTTTGAATAAAGCAAAAGAATATGAAAAGTCATTCAGATTAGTCATTTTACTAGTAACTTGAAAATATTAAATATTCCTATGAAATAAGGGAGTTATAATGCCTTGAATAAGGTACTCAGAAATATCAACTCAATCCTCTTACACATTTTTAAATTTTAAAAATTCTTTTGTAACTTGGTAAGCAAAAAGGAATACACATAACATACACATTATGAGGCATAAATAATAAAACAAGAAATTTTTATGAATAAACCATGTAACAAAAGAAATGGAACAGCACCAATACCATGAAGTACAACTTCTCTCCCAATCCCATTTCCCTGTGCCTCAAGATGCAAGCATTGTTTTGAATTTGCATTTATCATTCCCTTTCCTTTTTAAATTTTAGAGTTTTATGTGAATAAGTATTCCAATACTTAGATTGGTTTGCTTCTGAGCTTTAAAAGTATATGGTATGGTGTTAGTCTTCTATGACTTCATTATGTTTCTAATACATCCATGCTCTTGCATATGATATTTCATTCTATTGACATGCCAAATTCTACTAATCTGTTTTGCTACTGATACATATTTGGGTCATTTTTATTATAGTTTGTTGCTATTCTGAATGATTCTGCTAACAATAGCCTTTTAAGGTGCAGGTACAAGAGCTTCTCTTAGGGTGTGTGTGTGTGTTGTATACAGGGAATATGGAAATTTAACTTCAAAATATAAATTATTATCAGATTGTTTTTCAATGTGGCTCTGCCAATTTAGATTCCTACAGGCAGGGTAACAATGTAAAGGCATTCCATTGCTCTATATTCTCATTAACATGTGATACCTTCAGCTTTCTTAATTATTGTCAAATTACAGTGTATAAAATAATCTCGTTGTAGTAGCTTTTATTTGCATTTTCAAATTTGTAGGATAATTATCTTGTTTAGTTACCATTAATGGTAACAAATATTTACTACCAATAATTTCAGTAAATTTTTACTTACCATGAATGCATCCTCTATTTAAAAACTCTTTTATGCATTTTTCCTCTTGGGTCATTTGTGTTTTTCTTTTTGAATTGTAGGAAATCTTTACATCTCATGGAATATAAATATTTTATCGGCCATATGTATTGTAAATACTTCTCGTGCTTGTAACATTTTTCCCTACTTTTTAATGACATATTTTAATAAGCACTAGTTTTCATTTGTAATTTAGCTGAAACTATCAGTATTTTCCTTCAGACTTAGAGCTTTTTATCTAGGAAACCCTTACCCTGGGGTCCTAACTTCTAAATGTTTTAAAGTTTTGATTTCCAGACTTACAGTTTTAAGCTAACTGAAATGATTTTTACACAAGGTGGGAGGTCGTATTTATTTGCATTGGTATAGCCCCTGTCGAACCGTAGTTGTTGAAAGTCTCTCCCATTTCCTGTAATGCCACTTCAGTATTCTTAAGTTTTGGGACTCCCATATTCTTTTGATAGATATGTCTTTCCCTTGAACGAACACTACAAACTTTATACATCTTATTACCTGGTATGGCAAGTCCCATCACTTTATTCTTCAAGTCTCACCCATTTTGAGTCTTCATTCTTCCATATACATTTTAAAATAAACATCACATTTCACAAAAAAATCCCCAACATTCAACTTTGGTTGGAACTGCATTGACTTTATAATCACTTGCAGAAAACAATATAATTATGAAGTGAAATATTTCTACTGATAAATATGGTAGAGCTTTTCATTCATTTAGGTAAACTTTAATGGCTATAATTCAAAATTTTCTCCACAAAACAGGCCTTCCACCCCCCTCCTCATTATTCCTAAGTATCTTTTATTTGTTCTTGCCATTGTAAATGTGGGAATCATTATAGAAAGGACTCTCATGAGGATAAGGATTATTGCCTATATATGTTATTAATTTATCCAAGCACCTAAAACAGGGTGTGGTATGTAGTAGGCACTTAATATAACTGATGATCTCATATCCAGTTACTTTACTAACCTCCTTTATCAAATCTAACAATCAATGGATTCTTTTGAGTTTCCTCTGTAGGCAACCCTAGAATCTTAAATAATAATTTGTTTAATATTTTAAATGAGTATTTCCTTTACTTATTGCACTGACTGGAACTTGAGGATAACACTTGAGGTGTTGACAGTGTGTACTTTATCTTTTTCCAATTTTAAAAACAATGCTTTCTGTCATTTTAATGCTAAGATGTCCTGTCATCAATTAATAAAATTTCCCTATATAATAGTTTGCTAAACTATTTGTTTCTTTATGAGTTTTTAATCATAAAAAAGCTTTGAATTTTTTTCAAATGTTTCTTATGCATCTTCTAGAATGATAATATATTAACATGGTGAATTATATTTAGAAATTCCTCAAATTTTCAAATACTTTCTTTTCATTCATTAGATAATCTCACCTTGTCAATGACAGTTTATTTTTTACATACCTGCTAGATTTCTTTTGTTAACATTTTATTTAGGACTTTGGCATACATATTCCCAACAAAGAACAGCCTATAATTTTTCCTTTTCTCTTTTTGTCAGGCTTTGACATCTGATTATACTAGATTCAAAGACTGATTTAGAAAACGTTTCCTCTTTTTCTATTCTCTAAAAGATTTTGAAGATTGAAATTATTGTTTCTTTAAATATTTGAATACTTGGTAGAATTTGCTGTACTAGTTTTAAAATATGGTCTCCAAATTCTTCAACACTCCTTTCATTGAGAGGTGGGTATATGAATCTGAATCTGTGCCTATTTGGTAAACTGAATATAATGGAATAATCTGAAAGTAATGACGTACCAATCTCTGAGCCCAGGCCTTAAGAGACTGGAAGTTGGCCAGGCACGGTGGCTCATGCCTGTAATCCCAGCACTTTGGGAGGCCGAGGAAAGTGGATCACGAGGTCAAGATATCGAGACCATCCTGGTCAACATGGTGAAACCCCACCTCTACTAAAGATACAAAAAATTAGTTGGGCATGGTGGCGCGTGCCTGTCATCCCAGCTACTCAGGAGGCTGAGGCAGGAGAATTGCCTGAACCCAGGAGGCGGAGGTTGCAGTGAGCCGAGATCGTGCCATTGCACTCCAGCATGGGTAACGAGAGCGAAACTCAGTCTCAAAAAAAAAGAAGCTGAAAGTTTCTATATCCTATTACTGGTGTGCTCATCTGGAACCTAATCTCTATGGTTTGTAAATGTTATTTGTCTTTTCGGAATATCAACTTTGATATTCTTGACCCTATAATTATATTTTCATTTCCTAGTTCATTAATGTGTATTATTTTGTTGCTTTCCATCTACTTTTTAAAAATGAGTTACTTCTGAATGGTTAATCAGTATTTTTAAGTCCTTCTTTTCTAACTAAAAGACATATTTTCCTCTTCTGTTTTGATTGCAAAATTATCTCATTCTCTGATGGATTTTATATTTGCCTTTAAAATTAATCTTGTAAACTGTATTGTTAAAATCTTATACGTATCTTTACTAATTTTTTAATCTGTTTCACCTATTAATAGAGAAATGTTAAAATAACCTACTATTACAGTAGAGCTGTCCATTTATCTCCCTGGTTATCAAATTTTGTATTGTATAATTTGAAGCTATATACACTTTAGTATTTTTCTTAAAGCTCATTTCCCCTAATATTTTATGGCCAATTCAGATTTCATTTGTGAAATAGTCACCTTATGTATAATATTTTGTCTTTTGCTTTCTTTTCTTTTAGTATGCTAAAGTTTAATTTACTCACATTTAATATGGCCACAGATATGGCTGGATTAACTTTTACTATTTGCTGTTTATTATCACATTTCAATAACTTTCATATATTTTATTATTTTGGTCTTATATCCCTCTTCTCTATAGTACTAAATATCTTCAAATTACTTAATTGAGATAAAGCAATTAGCTCACTGAAAACAGAGAAACACTTTAAAAAGAATTTATAATTCATCTATTTTCCTAAAAACTATCTTGTTCAAATTATTTCTCCTTCTCCCTCTCATTCTAATTGTTTAGCACAACTTACAGGCTGTGCTACATATTTAATACTTACTTTTATGCTGCTTTGTATTAAACCCTATGGTTTCAAATATAATTTGTTTTTCTAAGAGATTATACGTTAATAGATTGTGCTGAACACTGTAGATTATGCTATCACATGTAAATTAATGTCTGATACAAAACACTTATAAAACAGATTCAATACTGATAATTAAGATAACTTAGGTAAAGATCATTTCTGAATATCTTTAGGTTTATAAGTTTTGAATATCATAATGATCCTTTACAATAAAATGGGTGAATCTCAAATTGACTAAGTTCTTTATAAACTCTGACACCAGTAAATTAGTAAAATAATAAGCTGAAACTTAATATTGAAATATATTCCATGGTAGTATTTTACAGAGCAAACTATAGCCCCCAAATCACAATAGTGTAGTTTCTGTACTCTAGTTTAATGAATTAATAAGGTATTTAATGATTTTCCTGGGAGCTACAGAAGTATGATAGGAAATTTGTACTACTGTGGAAATTCCTTTCTCAGAAGAAGAGTCATTTCTTGTTAAACTATTGATTGATAAGCTAAAGCCCAATGAATAAAAAAAAGATAGAAGTTATTTGTAAGTTAAGACTTGATATTTTGTAATAATATAGCTCTTTAATATGTAAATATTTCTACAATGAGCTACAACAGAACTTCAAAACCTCAATTATGAAATAATCTTACTATGTCTTGTTCTTCCTTAATCAGGTTCTTACCAATTTCTAACATCTCTTATACAATCTCTTTGTCAGACTCTATCAATATTACCTCTTTCACATTATGCTGTCAATAAGTGACTTCCCCCTTCTTTGAAACTCTCTAGGAAGTATCTATACACTTTGTCATTCAGAATATTTAGCTCTGCAATGACGTCCCCCTCCCCCACGCCCAGGAGACAGGGCCTGGGCAGGAGTGCAGTGGCTCGATCTTGGCTCATTGCAGCTTTGACCTTCTGGGCCCAAATGATCCTCCCACCTCAACCTCCTGAGTAACTAGGACTATAGGAATGTACCACTGCACCTGGCTTTTGTTTTTGGTAGAGCTAGGGTCTCACTGTGTTGCCCAGGCTAGTCTTGCACTCCTGGTAAAGCAATCCTCCTGCCTTAGCCTCCTGAAATGCTGAGATTATAGGCATTAGCCACTGTGCCCAGCCTGCAATGATCTCTTTATTCAAAGCCTAGTTCAAGAATTCTTCCCTAAATAATCATTTTCTATTAATATGTTTTCATCTAAACTTACATATACTATTTAAATCCCTTTATTGGCTGAGTAAACCTTAGTAAATTTAAATATCTTGGCAGAACCTCAGTTGCCTAATTTATAATGTGAGAATAATATTATGTACTTCAGCAGGGAGTTACAGAAAACAAATTCATCATCTGTATTAATCTCTATGATAGGTTATAAACTTTGAAATGTTACAATAAATATGATGCAAAAATTATACATTCTAAAGAAGTCATAATAAATATAGCAATGCAAAAATTATACATTCTAAAGAAATCATATTTAGTGGATAAACTCACATGTACTATAGAAGCAAATGCTTCTGATCTATCATATTCTTCTGCAATATAGTTGAAAGCTCGCCAAAGAGCAACTCCGGCATCATTTGCTCCATCAACTTCATCATCTGTATTAAGAATGAACACAAAACCAATTCTGGAAAAAGAAAATGAGTAAAGACTGTTACAATTATCTCTTAAATTACAATAAACCATTATGTAGAAACATTATTAGACTACAATATCTATATGGACAGAATGTATTCATAGATGGGAAAAGAATAATTTTATTACTTCAAAATTTTGATTGTAATGCTTATTCACCAAAATCCACCTTGCTACTGGATTCCTGCAGTAGAAATCTGATTCAATTCTAAGATAATATCAAACTCTCTCCCTCTGGTGGTAACATTATCAAATGAGCATGTTCTTTTGTTCTGTGCAAAAAAGGTCAATGTACTTTTTTTTTTTTTTTTTGGAGACAGAGTCTTGCTCTGTTGCCGAATTGTGCAGTGGCGCAATCTGAGCTTGCTGCAACCTCTGCTTCCCAGGTTCAAGTGATTCTCCCATCTCAGCCTCCCAGGTAGCTGGGACTATAATTGTGTGCCACTACGCTCAGCTAATTTTTGTATTTTTAGTAGAGACCAGGTTTCACCATATTGGCCAGGCTGTTCTTGAACCTGTGACCTCATGATCTGCCCACCTAGGCCTCCCAAAGTGCTGGGACTGCAAGCATAGGAAGATGGACCTTTCTATAAGTTTCCAGAGTGACAGATTATTCTCTCAAGAAGGTAATAAACAAAATTACCAGACAGATTTGATAAATGAGTCCAACATAAAGGTATTTAATACTTCACAACATACAGCTATGTTATGTCAGGCACTAGAGCTAACCATTGCTTTGAATGTTTGAATGCCCTATTAATACTCTGTGTAACACAATATGACCAATATTGGATTTCCTTTAGTTGACAATTTAATGCTATAAAATGACTATTACCTAAGAGGAAGTTTATGATAATATAAAAGATCAGCAAGTTTTATAAAATCCAAGGAATATTCTTGGGCCGGATCAATAAACAGAACCTAAAAGAAAGATAGTATATAATCACTATTTCAACACCTTAGAATCTTCATGAAATTCAAGTTCAGACTAATTGTTGTGACTGAAAGTATGCAATTCAATGTATAATTTTTAAAAAAATTCTAGTAATTATAAGGAACACACACACACACCCCCTAAAAGATTTCACAATTTATGAAGGATTTCTAAAAGCTGCACATCCAAATATAATTATACACGGAATTTAACATCAGGCTACTCATCTTCTTTTTGGAAGCCCAATATACATTCTTTTACCTGAACTGAAATACCTTATTCTAAATGTTCATTGGATTTTCTGTGATAAATTTTTTCAAAAGGAAACAGAAGTTGAATTTTGACTGAAAAAAAAAATAGCATTAACACAACTGCTTTATCAAGACTGCTGCAAAAAATACCATATTCATTTCCTATGTGAAAAAAAAGCCCTAGGTATTTTCTCCACCTTTCAAAGTTCCAATATAAATGCGTAGATATTATTGGGATAACAAAATTATGTGCATAGATGATAATATATATGATAAAATTATATGCATAGATGGTATTTATGTATCTTTCCCTGAAATTACTACTTTAATCACCAGTTCTTTATAATTAAGAAGAAAAAGTTCTCTCATAAATTCTTTTGAGAAAAATGTAAAAATAACATTCATATTGTTATTATAAAATGACATAAGGGCTGAAAAGTAAGAGGCAGAACATGTGACTGATATGGTTTGGCTGTGTGCCCACCCAAATCTCATCTTGAATTGTAGTTCCCATAATCTGCATGTGTCACAGGATGGACCAGGTAGGAGGTAGTTAAATTATGGAGGCAGTTACCCTCATGCTGCTCTTGTGATATGAGTGAGTTCTCTTTATTGCCTTCCTGCCATCATGTGAAGAAGCATGTTTGCTTCACCTTCTGCCATGACTTAAGTTTCCTGAGGCCTCCCAGCCATGCTGGGGAGTCAATTAAACCACTTTCCTTTATGAATTACCCAGTCTTGGCTATGTCTTTCTTAGCAGCATGAAAACAAAGTAATACAGTGACATTGCTAGTTGTTGACGCCCAGTCAGCCATGCCACCTAAGCCTGCTGCATCAGGCAATGCTGCATCAGAGAAATACTTATTTCTTTATAACTCAGATGCCTATTCATTGACAGGATAATCCAAACATGTTGATATCTTTATAAGATACATAATCAAAATATAAAACTCACCAAATTATGAATATTGCGCCTTATGGAAGGTATACTTCCAGGAAATACTGGCTTCAGAAGTTCATGGAAACTTGTAGGCCAAGTAATATATAAATCGTCATTTTCCAAGTCATTAATCCACTAGAAGAGAATCCAGACATTTGTGAAAGCTATGTTAAGATAACACTGAAATCATTTTCAAAGCCAGATTTTTACTATATCAAGTGACAAATAAAAATATACATATAATTTTTTATATTTCTGATTAAATACAGAAGCTAATTATTCTCTAAGAAATTATATTATGTGCAACAATTTTACACTTATGTTGTCTTTTACATTAAGCCTTGTCTCAAAAACAATTAATTCCTTTCACTCATGTTTTTCATATTGCAACATAAAATTGTATGAATATTACTCTACATAAACCACTTAAGAGAGATGAATATTTATCTTATAATTAAGATATATAATCAGCAAGAAATGAGGCCCTCTCCACCTCGCCTTTCAATTTAAAGACTTGGCCATAAGGAAAATAAAACAGCTTGTAAGTTAAATTACAAAACCAACATCTTAAAAATCAAGTTCTAACCCACTATACAAGCTGGAGAAAACATATAAACTGCTGTTTAGAGGCATGTGGTGGGGGAAGCAACCACCAATCAAGAAGTGAGGCATTATGGTCTTTGAAAGCAGTAAACATAAACAGCAAGCTCCACATTGACCTAAACTTCATCCCTAGGATCCCCAAATTGCATCCTGAAGGAATACTGAGTTGGAAAGCAAAAGTCAAAGCATGGGCTGCCAAAGCACTGAGATTAGAGAGCAGGATGCGGGATGAGAGTGTAGGAGAGAAGGAATCTGCAGGAAACCAGAAAAATCTCCATACAAATTCCTTTCAAGTCATTTGCTGTCTCCTAACCTGCACATATATATGATAACACTTCTACAAAAGCCAGACATCAAGAGAAATGGACAGGTTGAAACCACAGCCATAACATTGTATTGGGAGGACAGAGACTAAAGTTCAAGTACTATGCACTGCAGACTTTCATTTGAGAACCATTAAGGTCAGATCCTAGAATGAAGATATAAAAATATAAGCGCATTCATAAAGACTAAAAACAAGCCTCAATGGAAGCAAGTGAGCACCTGGCACTCAGGCTGCCAGGACAAATCTTAACTTTCTACTTCTACAGCTTTTCATCAATTTCTGGCTCTTATAAAACAAAAAAGTCATGCAAAAAAAAAAAGGGCCAAATATTGAAATCCAAGAGAAAAAAACAACAATAAAAAACCCCAAAGAGTACTTAGGCAAGGACTTTAAATAACTATCATAAATATATTTTTTTAAAAAGCACAACAATTTATAAAAAGAAAAATTCTGACTGAACTAAAATCTATTTTAAAAAGAAAGATATTTAATAATTTTAAAATACAATATTTGTAATTAACAACTCTAAGAACTTACTGGGTGGGTTTAATTGCAGACTGGACACAGAAGAGACAGGGATTAGTAAACTGCATAACAGATCACTAGAATATACAGTAACTAAAATATGAAGAAAAAAAAGACAAACCAAACAAAGTGTGAGAGAGATTAGAAATATATGAAAAAGGTCTAGCATATAGGTAACTAAAAATCCAGGAGGAAAGGAGAGAAAGACTGGAGAAAATAATACTTGAAGAAATTAGGAGGTTTCTGCAGTAATCTAGATAATCCAGATATTAGTTTACTGTGGTCTAAACTAAGAGGCAGTGGCTTTAGAGAAAAGGTGACAGAATTAAGAGACACACACAGATGAATGAATAATACAAAGGAATTTAGGGTGCATGTTCAAATAGCTAAAAGGAACAATGTTTAAATAGCTAAAAGGAACAATGTTTAAATAACTAAAGGAAGGCAAGAAGACAAATCAACAAACATAAAAATTATAAGAAGAACCAAATCAAAATACTGGAATTTAAAAATATAATAATTGAAACAAAAAATTAATGAGAGGAGCTTAACACATATATGAGCACATAGAAGAATCAATGAATTTGAAGTTAAGTAAATGAGTTTAGTCAATCGGAGAAAAAAAGAGAAAGGAAGATACAGGTGCAGAGAAGTCTAGGCCCAAGGAGGAAACACACCTTGTCTAGACTCAAAGGCTAAGGGTGAGAATTCAGCAGCTTTTTTGGAAAGGGCAATCGGAACTCGCATTCCCAATGGAGCTGGGAATTATACAGAGCCTTCAAGCAGTGCTACTTTTCCTGATTAAAAGCAGGTGTGCCTAAACAGACAAAATGAGACTTTCAACTACAGTGCAACTTAACTTGTGGTCTGCAGAGCGTTAAGTACTTATAAGTATAGAAAATGAGATTAAGTGTTCAACAACTTGTAGTAATTGGACATGGCCATGACATCTGAGCACATAATCAGTGATCTCAACTCACTGAACATGGTATAGGACACCTTGGGGTTTACCAAACTCCTATCATGTGCCACATGCAGTACAAGATACATATTACAACACTTTGGGAGACTGAGGTGGGTGGATCATGAGATCAGGAGTTTGAGACCAGCCTGGCTAACATAGTGAAACCGTCTCTACTAAAAATACAAAAATTAGCTAGGCATGGTAGTGCTTGCCTATAGTTCCAGCTACTCAGAAGGCTGAGGCAGGAGAATTGCTTGAACCTAGGAGGCAGAGGTTGTGGTGAGCCAAGATAACACCACTGTGCTACCGCCTGGGCAGCAGAGTGAGACTCTGTCTCAAAAAAAAAAAAAAAAAAAGATAAACATTAGTCATAGGAGTAGGCCAAGATATTGACTGGCAAAAGGTTGGGGGGAAATGCTATTCTGTTACTATGAATAGTTTGAGAAGTAATACTCTAGCACTTAGTGAAGGCCATCTCTAAAAAGCCACAAGAAAAAAGCAAATGAAAAACAAACAAAAAAAGATATGATGACCCCAGCAAAGCCTGGGGTCAAAGACAAAAACATTATCCCTCATCAGTCTGTTAAGATTTTGGCAAAACATACCCATCCCCTAGTATCTGTGGGGCATTGGTTCCAGGACTCAGAGAGGATACCAAAATCTAAGACTATACAAGCCTCTTATATAAAATGGCAGAGTATTTGCATAGAACCTCCTCACATCCTCCCATATATCTTAAATCATCTCTAGATTACATAGAATGCTTAATACCATACAGCAAATGTTACATAAATATACTATATTGTTTAAAAATTTGTATTATTTTTGTTTATTTTATTACTTTTGAATAATTTCATTCCATGGTTAGTTGAATCCAGGAATGTGGAACCCTTGGATATGGAAGGCCAATTATATTCTACTTCTATGATCTTATTGAAACTTATTTACCAAGTCACAAGAAAAAAGTGAGTTTGTGGGGGTTTTCTCTTCTATGGAGATAATATGAATATCATAGCATATGAGATTAGGAGGCTGACATGTTTTAATTCACCTTAAAACTATATTATTGTCACCAAGCCTACTCTTTGTGGCTAAAACCTAGTAAATTCTCAATGCTCACGTGGAAATGCAAACCCCTAGAGACTGATCGTCTATAATTTAACAGTAAATATGTATAGGAGGGTATCTACATGTAAGACAACTATATAAAAACTATAATGAAAACATGCTATGATCCAAATGTCTTGATGTCTTTTACAGAGTGACTCTTACTGAACGAGACAATGTTATGAAAATATGTACCTAAAAAATTATTATACTTTAAGTTTTTAAAATTTTAAAGATCTATGATTATGATTCTTAACATTACTTTGGGCATATTTTCTGACATTTTAAATTGGCTTTTAAAACGTTGACTGCTACAATAGTGAATGAACGCATGGTATATGAAATGTCAACACTAAAGCTGGCTGTGATGGAAGATAAATGATGACACTGTTGCCATCAAAGTGCCGAGCCAAAGGACAGTTTTGGTTAAATCCAGAAAAGCTTGAATCTGTCTTTGTTCCCTTTATGCTACTGTCTAAGTTTATGGAACTGTATGTGTGCACTGCATACTTTAGTATTTCTTTAGAAAAATTTTGCAATGTCCTTTCTTTTCAAAGAGTTGAAGGGCAAATGATGCTGACGAGGGGGACAGTCAGAACCTGCATACTTTGAATGCAATACCAGGGCACTAGCACTAAGAGTTACAAAAGAAGAGCCTTTAACTTTGGTGACAGTGCAGCACGGAGGACCAAAACTGTAATTTGAACACATTATTAATATAATATATAACAAGGCACGTTGAAACTAAAGGAAAAGGGGGAAACTGGTTTAAAGAGGTGAAAATAAAGGTAGAGGTTAATTAGAACTACCAACATAAATACATGCCCTTTTAAAAGAAGAAATTTTTTTCTTGCTCTGCCTTCATCACTCTGAATTCTACTCTGAATATTTTATTGAAAAAATATGAAGTGCACATCTAACGCCCAGATTTTGGTTGTCAGCACTATTTTCCTCCAAACAAAACTCGGTGAATAGGCAGTTCCACATTTGGAGAAAAAAAGAGTCAAGATGCTCTATACGAAACCTTGTCAGAAGCGGGTAGTGTTTAAAGAATAAAGAGGTCAGTTTGAAGAGAAGACGGCCAGGGGCCATGTGCTGATTATTTTATTATCTAAAATAAAATAGTTACTATAGTTAAAAAAAATTTTTAGTGTTTGTGAGAGTCCTTAAGCATGATGCTCAAAAGGAAATGCTTCAGAGATAAGTCAAATACACTATAGGTAGAGGATCCCTAATCTGAAAATCCAAAACATTTCAAAATATGAAACTTTTTGAGTGCCCACATGATGCTGCAGGTAGAAAATTCCACACCTGATATCTTTGTTTTCTGATGTTTCAAGTACACAAACTTAGCTTCATACACACAATTTTTAAAAAATATTATCTAAAAGTACCTTCAGGTCATGGGTATAAGGAATATATGAAACATAAATAACTTTCATGTTTAGACTTGGGTCACTTTTCCAAGATATCTCATTATGTATGTAAACCAAAAATAAAATTCTAAGCCCCGCAACAATCAGACATGCCTCATTATTCCCTCCTCCCTTTTGGAATTCAGACACAGCTGACTAGCATTAACATTAAAACAGACCTTACAACTGACAGAAC